CAGAGAGAGAGACAGAGAGAGAGAGCGATCAAGAGAGACAGTTATGTTTATGTAAATGGCCAACCACTCGGAAGTTGGAAGTTATTTATTATTCAATTTTTTATATATTTTAAACCATTCTTCAGTGCTCCTGGGTAGAACTGTGAGGAGGAACCTTGGAATACATGTCAAGATCTTCTGCCAGTAGCACTTTCTGACCTCATAGTGTTAATATTTAAGAACTTCATTCAAATGAGCTAAATGAATATGCTCTGTAAAGCACAAATAAAACTTGAAATTTTTCCCATTTTTGTAGACAACTTTTTCCCACTTCCTTCCGAAATTCAGATCTGGATCAGAATTACTTTTATTCACCAAGGGGATGTTCTTTTTCTTACAGACATGCAGTCGACCAGCAGACAAATAGAATAACTTGTATTGTTTCTGTCACATAAAATGATAAAAACAATAACTTCACATAGATTTACCCACTATTTCTTTTCTTTCTTTTTTTTTTTTTTTTTTCAAATATTTTTTGTTGTTGTTGTTCTTCTTCTTCTTCTGTCTATTTTATTCTGTCTGATGCCTGACTGTGACTCCAGCCCTAGTCATCATGTTATGTTTGACTAATATTGCAATGACTTCATTGGAACATGCAATTTCAAATCAAGAAGTCAATTGACCATTGACTCACTGTCTGTGGACACTGGACGTTAAGAAACATGTGTTTACTTAGAACTGTAGATGAAATGTGCAGTTGGAAGGAAAGAGTTCTCTGAAAAGCAGAATGTTGACCTTGTTCTTTTATAACATTTCTAATTTACTCTGGTATTCCTTTGAAAGGGTCAATCTACATGACTGGAATGTTCAAATTATAAGTCTGCGAACAAATTAATAAAGCAAGTTTTCATTAAAATCACTGTACCTGATTTAATGAATGAAGTGCTCTACTGTTATTTCTCATTTACCTAATACATTCTGAGTATCCTAATAATACTGAAATTAGTTTATTAGAGCACAACTGTCAGACGCCAAAGCCAACAACAGCTAGTATGCTAACCACACACGTCCTCATTCAGGTTCCATGTTTGGTGTTGATTGCTGAGCAGGAAAATGTCATAACTGGAGTAATCAGATAACGCACTACTTACTGTAGGAGTGATATTGGCATGTGTCTAAATGGACAGCAGAAATCTGATTCTTCAAACTGCGTGTGCATATGTGTCAGATCAGAAACAGATTTTAGAGTAACAATCATATTTGGAAGTCAAAGTTCAAATACTATTTGAAATAGTGTGTTTTATCTTGTATGTTGTATATATTTTTGTTCATAAAGACGCTGTAGCTGATTTTAATGTCTTAAAAATGTGAAAAACAAACGTTACCTTATGCATCACTTACCCTATGCATTTGGTGCATCCTAGTTATTCACTGCAATCATTTTATAAGTTTTTTTTTTAATATAACTTACAGAGACCAGAGTGGACTTTTGTTGTTACTGTAAAGCTAACAACAATTAGTATGCCAGCACTCAACTTACCTATTTTGACCGCAGGAGCAGCTTCTATAATAGATCTGTACTGGCGCAAGAAACATTTTGCTCAAATACATTGAAAAAGATTGAGTATTTGGGGTTGCATCTTTGCCATATCTACTTCACTGCACAGGTATGAAAGATCAGAAAGAAACACAAACATGCATTTTTTCCCCCCCATTTATCTAATCTGACTACTACAGAAAATCAGATAATGTCAGATTTTTTGTTGTGCATGTAAATATATCAAGGGTCTACAAGTAGGTCTCCACCCCGTTCAAAGTAGCTCACCAAGGGATGTGTATCATGTTGATGCCTAACTTTATAAACTAATACATGGATAATGGTTTATGTGTTATATGCATTTAATTGTACCCCATCTAAGGATCGCCCTGGCTCTTATATTTACTCCTCTTCTTCTTCTTCTGTTTGTCTGAAAAGTCATTCCAGACAGTTCATTTGAAGTGTGAAGTCAAGAATTAAAGAATTAAACCAACAACCCCTCAATATAAAAAATTTAATTTTGTTAAACATGGTGACATATTTGAACATTGAACAATCACTGTTTTAAAACTTTAGATCAATTTTAGCTCAATTTATTATTAAAGCTGTCAGGCTTTTTTTTGTGTAAAGGTAGATCACCAGAGATTGGCGACCCCTAGAATATATATTGTAATCACTTCATAATTCTTTCCTTTCTTCTCATTTCTTTTACTTTTCTTGAACAATTTTCCCACTTTTGCCTTGACTTGGGGCCAGCTGTTGGAATGATTTGCCTGCTAATTGTCACAGTTTGCCAGCCCTGCCACTCGCTTCATTTGCACTGGCCACACTCGCCCTGTTCACTCACTTTAGTCCAATAAACCTTTTGAACTTTCAGCTTCAGCCTGGCTCTCCTTTTGGGCTCACTTAACACGCTGAGCCCTGGGATATGTGGGTGTCTGCAGTTGAAGATGTCTCCCATCACTGCTAATACTTAAGAGCACTGACAGATAACCACGGGCTTTTTGAAACTGAATATTTGGATTATTTCAAATCTCCATCATACTGTTTTTGTTTAACAGAACTAGTCTTTTAAAATATTAACTAAAAATACTGATGAGCAGAGTAGAAACAACAGAAACATTTGACACCTGATTCTGATAGAAAAGAGACTTTATACGTGACACTTTTAAACATGCAGTTTAATCTTTGTGAGAGATCAAAACCTTTCTAAAAGTATTTTGTCCTATTCATGATTTTCTTCAGTGTTGATTAGGGTTGCCCTGATAATAAAATGTTTTACTTGATTACGAAACTAAGGAACTACTCGATACTCAATATCAAAACTGATACTTTTGACAATCCTAGAATTGACAACTCTAGTATCTACTGTTGTCACTAGTTTTAGTATCATTTTGTGTATGATTTTGTTTACTTTGTAGAAAATTTAGCTTGAAGATAAAACAAATTGAATCACCAAACAATAAAAATATATATGACATTCTGAATTCAAGTCGAGGGAATCAGGTATAGGACCTTTAATCCTAAATGAATGCAATCTGTCTGTTACACCTGATTTTCCATTCCCTCGGACAACACGCATAAAAAATCTCGCTTTCAGATAACCACAGAGTAAATCTGTTTTTCTTTTTTCTTTTTTTCATTTGCTTGTCGCCTGTTCTATTCAGCTCCGCTTGGGATTAAACCTCTGTGGAGTGGGTCAGTGTTGAGCATGAGGGCTGGTCGACAGGCGTTATGTAAGCCCAGTGGATTTCCTGTGGCGAGCGGGACCATTCATGCCTCAGATACACGCTGTCTTTGTCTCGTCCCTGCAGCAGCTGTACCACACAACAAGGATCTGTGCCATGCTCCGACCGCCACATGTTCAGAACAAGAGGAAAAAGAGGTCACACACAGTGCTTCAGGATGGCATCTTGGATTTTTTTTTTTTTTTTTTTTGCAACAATGGTATTAGGACAGAAATAAAATGATGTGATTTTTATTGTCTTAAAACATAAAAGAATGAAGTTTGCAGAGGTCCAAAGTTATTCCTCACTTACTATACTATATATTCCAAGCATCCTAATTATTCACTGCTATGAGTTTATAAATGCTTTTCACAACTCTTTAAGGTGTAAATTAGGGCTACAAGAGATAAAGATACTATATTTGGGAACTATGCAATGTACTGTGATAATGATATAACTTTTCAAAGAGAACTTTCATAAATTGAGCCTTCCAGGACTAAAAGAGTTGTGCACACAGCACTGTACAATCTAAAATAACATTTTGACCTAATGCTGATTAGGTTTGCCAATGAGAAATGAGCGCTAATGTCTGACTGCCAGCTCAATCAATAAAAACTCATTGTCCAGCTATCTTGGCCCATTAAATGTAAGCAAGCTAAATGATGTAGCCATCAGCTGGAAGAACACACATCTATGAAAGAGCTATCCAGAGGGTTTGTATATTATGAATGTATTATATAAATAAACTGATTGTGCTGACTGGCTTGTCTCTCTGAGACTTGTTAGAACATAGTTTTTTCTTCTAAGTGGTCTGCTGTATGTTTTCTATGAGAACATAGTTTTTGTAAGTTGTACAAAATAAATGGTAAAGTCGAATAAACGGAACACAGTGTTTTTATATATATATATATATCCTCCATCAATATCAGCTTTATTTTGCATATGAAGAATTCCTGATATCCATGCATACGATAAATGAGCCCACAGGGTGGCAAAACAGTGAGGTTTTTCTACTAAAATATAGTATATACTCCACCTAATGAAAGGGACAGTTTTTCAAGGTCTCATAATAGTTACAATAATAAAACAGCAGCAACCCACATTGTTTCCACTCAGTGTTACAGTGTCACAAAGAAGGTTAATAAATTTATTTATAAACTTCTCTCTCAGCACATTTTGTAAAAAAAAAAAAAAAAAAAAGTTTAATTGGCCTCTTAAAATGTAAAAATTATAGTTGCAGTTTTTTGGTTGGTTGTACTTGGCAGATTTTTTTTAATTTTATTTTTTTTTAAGTGACCATAAAACAACTACAAACACTACAGTATATATAAAACTTCAGTTACAAACACATTTTGCCTTTTGTCAAGTTTACACATAATTCATCTGAACTTGATATGATCATGAATTGCTCCAAGACTTTCTCCTGTACCTTTTATATTTTGTTTCCAGACTCCAATACTTTGCTCCATAACTTTGGCAGTGACATCCAAGTTTCATCTTCTCAGTGTCTCAATTGTTGCTCGCCTTTGGTAAATTTCACACAAAGTTGTTTACTAAGTTTAACTGCCAAGTACAACACTAACCATAACTCCCACTGCCATCTCAGTCTGATATAGTTTAATATCTACAGGACATCTGAAAAAATACTCATATAATGCATGATACATGTATGTGTAAACAGACATCATATATTACTGTACTACTGGTACTGCAAATTCAAAGCAAGTGCTCGATAAACAATAATAATATGCACCCTTTTTTTTTTTTTTACTGTGATTGTTCTGAGGTCAGATAGCACCTTGTAACAGTTTCGCAGACATTTTCAAACAAAAGAAACCACGAGGTCCATATTTGGTATTTGTTTTGCTCTGAATCACAGTTATCCCATTTGCTGCTCAAACAGAGTCCACTTTCACCTGGTTATTGTTCGTCATGAGCGGGGACGGCTTGCTTTTGAGGCGCTCCACCGCATCGTTGGAGCTGTCCTGGAAGAAGATTCTAGCCGTGCACACTGACACGACTATGCGCTTGTACTCGCGCCGGAAGTTCTGATTCAGCACACCGTACACTATGGCATTAAGGCAGCTGTTGAAGTAGGCCATGAAGTAGCTGGACACAAAGAGCCACTCTGGGATGAGAGGTACCACTACTTCCGGTTTGATGGCCACCGCTAAGCCTATGAAGTTGAGGGGCGCCCAGCAAACTGCGAAGAGCACGAACACAACAAACATGGTGACAAAGTTCCTCACGTCGTGCGGCGTTAGCTTGGGCCGATTGTCCGGCTTCACCCTGCGTCTCACCTGAATGACCAGTACCCAGATCCGGAGGTAGCAGTATGTCACAATCATGATGGGCAGGATGAAGTGAAAGAATACCACGGCGATAGTGTACGCCGAGCTAGCCGACTGCTCGAAAGTGCAAGAGTATACCCGCGGATCGTACTGCAAGGAGCCTACGAAAAGATTGGGCACGATGGCTACTACGGTTAGTGCCCATATTAGTATGACGTAGCATATGGAGTTCTTGTCACTGTACAGTTTGTCGTACTTGAGACTGTGGCAGATGTAGCAGTAGCGGTTGATGGCGATCCCGGTGATGTTGAAAATGGAGCCGATGACGCTGACACCCATGAGGAAGCCACTGATCTGACAGTGCATGTAGCCCAGGCTCCAGCCATTGTGGAAGATGGACGATAAGACCAGGGGGTATGGGTAGATGGCCACGACCAGATCTGCCACTGCCAAGCTCACCACAAAGATGTTCCCTGAAGACAGAAAAGACAGCAGTGAGACATACGCAGACATGTGTATGGATCTTTACCGAGAACCTCAAACCACAAAGGGAAGCCCAAACTCCTTTAACCTTCTTCATCTATTAAAGCTGAAATACTCAACTTTTTTCCTCATAATAAAAAGCAACGAAATATACTGTAAAAGCAGAACTACTACTTCTACTACATTTGCAAACTTTTAAGAATGAGCCATGTGACTCATTATATGAGCTGATTGATTGAACGAGGGTGGTCCACCCTGCTACACTTTTGTGTTTGAAAAAGATGTTCTAAAGCCGTTCAAGAGGCTAAAAAATCAATCCATGTGAATACTAATAATGTGCAAGGGATTTTTGAGAATTCAGAGAGATGTAAACAAATAAAATGTGTTACCCGAGCTTTAAAGGCACAGTGTGTAACTTTCTGAACGTGGCACATCCACTTAACCCCTCCCATTGCAGTCTATTTTTCCTAAAATGTGTAAGTAAAATAATATCTCAATTCAAACTGAATCTGTTTCTGAAACCTTTGGAGCACAGACAAATAGCTGGACTCTTTGTGAAGTTGAGACTCTGTAGTTTGGGCCTGTGCTGTCTGATTTATTCTCATTATAAGTTGGAGCCAGCTCTACACAAAGGAAAGTCAGATTTCAAATTGTGCTTGAATTGTTTGGTAAATATAAGAATAGGTTTAGCTGGTGTCCCTGGGGATAATCTGAGAGACAGCACATTGAGCATTTGTTGGGTCTTTAGTACCTTTTCTAGAACTATAAGAGCACATACAGCTACATACAGTTTAAGTGAAAATGCTAAAACAATCATAGAGTAACAATAATTAATGAATTTATACTAAATGACCCAGAAACCAGGCGTAGCAGTCATATATGTCTCAGCGAGAAACATAACGTCCATTTATGCAGCTCTGAATTAGCATAAATGTACCCAGGAGCATCCCTTGACAATTTGCCGGACTTCCATTTAATATTGACTTTTGGACACTAATGAATCATGAAATGGTTTTAATTGTAATTGCTGGAGAGAGGTTCACACAGTACATTTGCCAGACAAATTGGATTTGATTTGAGGTTGGGCCACAGTCAAGGGCAAACAAGTCTTTCAGTCTGATCCAGTGGATTATATATGAGCATGTTGTTGAAGGACATTCGGGTTGCAGCCTTTCAAGGTGGCAGTGTTACGCCCTTGATCTTTATAAGATATTCAGTATAAACTGAAAGAGGGGATGTGGATGGAGTTGAAAGTGACATTCAAGAATTTGTTCATTAAACTAGCAATTTTGCATTGCAGATTCACAGCCATGTTTTATTAATAGTAAAGAATGCTGTGTCAGTTTGGGCTCAATATTGAAATGGCCAGTGTTTGGTACTGTTTGCCTTTTATGTCAAATCCACAGCACTAATGTAAAGGGGACCAAAAACATTTAACAGCACATAGTCTCAGAGTCTTGTAAGAGGCTGAGAGTTCACATGTCATTGTGATTGGTTAAATCCAACTGTCACTCTCTAAGAGCAGACAGAGGCTGACCAATGGCATGAATAGGAGACGAGCGTTTGAGCACAGAGCGGCAGTCACAATTCTGTTTTTATCATCCGAACCCAAACAGTTATCGGCCACAACAGCAAGACACATATTGGATATTTTTGTTATTGATGAGTCTTGGAAGTTCAGTTCAGTTCTAAGGCAAATATAGTAGGCTGTCCATATGGGAATACAGCTCTTATCCAACGCCGCACCTGTCTGCACCTGTTGCATGGAATGGACCTGCTATGGCTGCATTACTGCTACTGGTTCAAAAGCTCTTATTGCTTTAATTCAGGAAAGCAGGAATCATTACAAACTTTATTGAACTTGATGTATTATGAAGAACTCTTTGTCCTTTCTTTTTAGTGGAGAGCATTATAATTTGAAGTGCACAACACAGGAATGTTGTCATGTAAAATGTTTGTCCCTCACTAGGCAGAAGGAGGCAGGATAAATAAATACACTTAATGGGATACTACTACTATTCTTTTTTGAAACTCAGCTACACTGTTCACTCAGTTTGGTCCAGACCCGCTGCTCACTCCTGAGAGAACCATCCCAGACTGATCATGTGTAAAACTCATTTCAGTGCTACACATCAGTTTGGGTCAGGTTTACTGGCACGGTGTGCCATCATTGTGAAATGACCTGCATCAAAACCCATGTATTGCACATCAGAATCAGAATCAGAATCAGAATTTATTTGTCATTCCAGTATAAAAAAATACACTGACACAAAACACTGCACTCAGGTCCATGTCATCAGCAGTGCAAACAATAATAAGAATAAATAGATTGACATATCATATTTCAAATACAGTCCCAACCACCACCATTTTCTAATGTGTTTTCCAAGTCAGTGCTATTCTTTGTGTCAGGGCTACATGACAGAATTGATTTGTCTAACATATATACTGAGATTCCCATCTTCTGTTAAAAGTCCTTAGTCTCTACAAACCTTTACTGTAAATCAAACTACACTTTTCCATCTTTATATTCTGTGGCTTCTTTGCTATCATCATGCCTCTCTCCTCTCCAGCCTGGTGTAATGACTATCAGCACTGTACAGAGCAGTGAGCAGGGTGCACACGAGTGCTGGGGTCCTCGCTCATCATGTCACCAGGCCTATCACTATGACACCATGCATTCGCTGTATGTCAGCCAGAGCTAAACACAGTGTATATCGCTCCTATCGGCCCGCGCTGAGAGGCAGGCCAATTTCAGCCCTGGCATTTGGTGCACCTGTATCAGAGTGGTGCCCGTGGACCTGTCACTCCCATCAGCCAATTAGCCCCACCGTTGATGGGATGGTATTTTGTCTGGTAATTCATTTGATTTATTTTTGTGTTGTCATTAATATCAGTGGTTAATACACTGCTGCTCATGCATATACATTTCTACTCTTTGTTCAACTGAAGGTTTTGTTTCTGGCATCAATCACTCACAGCTTTGAGTTTGTGAACCTCCACCCTATTTCCTAGCGTGATTCATCAGCCGGTTCACTTTGTGGAAACCGTCTGACCTCGCAGCCTTAGGATTCGTTCGCTCGATGGTAGGTGGGTACTTTTTTATTTAACAAATTGCTGCTATTTGGTCATGACGTATGTAATGCACCGTTAATGGGGCTAACAGGTAAAACATATTTCCCCTTGATTAAATTCACCAAACATTCTCTTTGTTCCAGCTTTAAATCTTCTATATTGGGAATTGTTGCCAGCACAGAATGTATGGCTTTGTCTACATCCATCTCGACCACTTGGTTTACTTTTGTGCTGTGCTACAAAAGGGACACAGACAGGTGCTTGAGTTCTGACCTAGTCGCTGGAGAGAAATGGAATTGAGCAGAGACACTAGATGGCACCAGCCCGGCTAGCTATTTCCACCACAGCAAAGAAACCATGATAGTGTAAGGTACAAAACTGTATTTGAGTTTAGCTAGAGGCAGACCAACCTTCACTGATGCAGCCCAACAAACAATACTGTTGCCTCTTGTTTGAATGATTCCTAAAGCCTGAATTACATGAGTTGAGGTGGATAGTGCCCAGTTACATTTATTTGAGTAACATTTTAAAGAAATTGTACTTTTCAGAGTACACAGTCACACAGTATTTTATTTAAGAAACAATATGCTGTTTGAGTAAAGGTTTTGGATTGTCTTTCCACTATAAGTTTAAAAGTGGCAAAAGCTTTATGTTGACAATATGAAATGATTTGAACATTGTTGCTTGTACAGCTCCTTCTTATATGATTTAGTTTAGTCTTTTAGTTTTTGTGTCTATCCTTTGAAATGACCAGATTTAGTGCAAGATTCAATGTTTTTAATTCCAGTTGTACATGTTGGTACGTCCTGACAGTTACTCTTTAAGTTACCTGTACAATTTATGACTACTGTACCCACCTTTGCTTACAGTAACATTTGTTTTATTAGTGAAATTGAATAACTTTACATCAGTTGTGCAGTTAATTAGAAAGTTTGTCCTTTAGTTAGTGTCATTCCAGTGTCCTCTACTGGGAATGCACCGCACCTGTTGTTGCTTCAGATCCTGGGTTTGGACAGAGCTTAGTGTGAGCCGGTTATGAGCCCCGTTATGATTGTATCTCTAGCTTAGCGTGCAACAGAGAGGGAGCCTTACATGTTTTTCAAATGTCCTATTCAAACGGGATTTGCTTTGAGTTAAATTTACCCCCTCAAATTATTTCCCATGTGACTGTTTGAGGACACACAGAGCTATCTGAGAGAAGATGGACCAAAATAGTGTTTCAGAGTTCACTTTGACAATATAATGTGAGGTAATTGTGAAGTTAAAGCTACACTATGTAATGTTGCATGTATTCAATTACAGGTGTTTTTATTGTTCAAAATGTTTCTCTACAGATCTGACCTGGAACTTGGCGTAGTGGTGTCACCTGCTTTTCTCCAGGGAGATAGATTAGTTAAATGTGCAATTAGGCCAAGCAATAATAGTTCCATGGAGACAAGCAAGTTACATAATGTACCTTTAAGTTGTGGAAAGAAAAAATATGTAATACTGATAACTCAATGAAAGATCAAGACCATGTGAAAACGAGTGGACTAACGGAGTGTGATGCAAAGCTACTTCATAATTTTAACACTATAACACTATTCATTTTGTTTATTTTGCACTGAAAACTAAGAAATATATACATCTTTACTGTGAGTGTCCTTGCAGCTCCACAAACCTGACTCCTATTTGGTCTGGAGGAGGAGCTCTTCCTGCTTGTTTCCATGTAAATGTTGTTACTTTGACTATAATCTTCTAGCTTGATTCATCAGCTGGTTTCACTTTGTAGAAACTGTCTGACCTTGCAGTGTTAGAAATCGTTCGCTTGACGGTAGGCGGGTATTTTTTTATCATTTAACCAATCGCTGCTATTTGGTAGTCACGTATGTAATGCGCCGCTAACAGGGCTAACTGGTATATTAAGCTTTTCCCA